CCTGTGTCCTGTTGTGGTGTGGCACTTTGCTGCTGTTTTGTGCCTGGGGATTGCGTGGGGGTTTTCTGTCCCTGCCTGATTGTCCACCCCTGGTTGTTTTCCTGGGGTTTTTGTGCTTCTGCTCTTTCTTCCTGCCTCCTCTGCAGCAGGGCTGTTCTGCGTGTGTTCTTGGGCATTTTTCAGCCTGTGTCTTGTGATGTGCTTCTTTGTCTTGGTCCATTGCAGTTGTTCGTACCCCTTGGTTCGGGTACTGTTCTGGTGGCTACCCTTCCGCCTTCTTTGGTGGGGCTGCTGTGTTCTGGAGGGATCCGGGGTTTGTTGGTGTTTCGTTGGTCGGGCCTGGGGTGTGTCGTGTTTTGTGTTCAGTGGCGCCCTCCGCTGTTGTTTGCGTGCCGCGGCGTTTGGCTCCGGAGTGCGTTTTGCGTTGATCCGGTTCTGTTCTTCCCGGTTCGCAGGTGATGGTGTCCCGGGTGGTCAGCAGTGTTCTTGCGGCTAAGCAGCCTGTGTTCTTCCCTCATGCCTGTGGCGATCGTGGCTTCGCTGCTCTCGCTGCCGTCTGGGCGACTTGGCTTTGCGGTCTTTCGGGCATGGATTTTTGGTGTTCGTGCGGGGGCCTTGCTGCTCGTTGTTCTCGTGTTGTTCCCGGGACTTTTCGGGGCTGTGGCGCCTTGGGTTGGCGTTTGCTGCCGGTTGTCTCGCTTCCGTGGGGGGTGCGTGGTGTCCGCCTCCCAGTTCTGTCCCTTTGACCTTCCTCTGTGGGTAGTTAGCTCCGGGGAGCCGATGGGGCTCCCCCCAGAAAACCAGCGTTGAATGTAATGAAACTCCATTTTCTGGGTGAGACCCGGAGGCTCCCCGGCAACCCTCCCTCCCTCCGGTCGGCGGTTTTTCGCGTGTTTTGACATCCAGCCTCAGAACTGATGGGTGGATAGCCGGCGTGGGAGGTCTGGGGCTCCCCCTTCCCCCTCCCGGGGAGGGGGGAGCTGCGCAGACAGCGGCGCGGTGACGTATGACGTCATACTAGTTTCCTTGTTTTCTGTTGAAGAGTTCTATCCACTAGTTCGGCTTTTGGTAGCAATTTTCACCAGAATAGGGGTTTGTTTTGGAATGCTTACCTTTCTGGATGCTTGACCCGGTCGATGGCAGACATAGAATGCTTCCTACCACACGGGGGTTTCTATAGGCCATTGCTCCCCTTGCCTCTCTGAGGGGGCCAGGTTCTGGCCATGGTCCCCGGTAGGCCCTAGAACTCCATACACATGACTGATGCCAAAGTCTGACATTAGCATATCAGCCGGTAAAGCTCCGGGGAGCCTCCGGGTCTCACCCAGAAAATGGCGTTTCATTACATTCAACGCTGTTTTTTTTGGGTCTGAAGCCATAGTGGCAAGAGCTAAGTATATTGTGTTTGGCTAGATAAGAGTAAAGCTGCTTGTAGATTAGTTTTTCAAAAATTTTTGACAAGTTAGGCAGGATTGATATAGGTCTGTAGTTAATAACATCTGAGAGATCACCACATTTGTGTACAGGGGTAACTCTCGCTTTTTTTAGGATATCTGGAAAGGTTTGGAGTTCAAGTGACTTGTTGAAGAGCAATGCAATAGCAGGGGCTAAAGTTCTGGAGGCTTTTTTGTAAATTAAAGTTGGTATCTCCTCAAGGGCACTAGACTTGGTTTTAAGGGAAAAGATTATCTCATTGACGTCAGTGGAATTAATAGGCTTTAGGTACAGAGACTGTGGATAGTTACCTGCAAGATAGTCCTTAACATCAGTACTGGAAGATGGAATATCATTTGCAAGGGATGACCCAATGGAAGAGAAGAACCTATTGAACTCTATAGCAGAATCTGAGGCTGAAAGCTGACCATCGTTATTGGACAGGAGTGTTGGTTTGTTATTTAAAATCTTTTTTGATCCCAATATTTGTGAAATTGTGCTCCAAGTTTTTTTAATGTTGCTCTTTATTTGGGTAAATTTATCTTCGTAGTATTTAGTTTTGGCTCGTCTAATTATCTTAGATAGCAATAACGAGTAATTCTTTGAGAATTCTTTGGAGACAATTCCTAACCTATACTTCTTCTCAAGGTCATGTTTTTTATTAATGGATTTAAGTATTCCCTTTGTAAGCCAGGGTTTGTTAAGTCTTTTGGTTGTGACTTGTTTTGTAAGCATAGGACAGTGGGTGTTATAAAGGCTAAGAGTTTTTTGAAGAAAAGATTGCACTGCTAGGTTGATGTCCCCTATGTTACCTAACTTGGACTCCCAGTTGACATTATCAGCAGCAGTTATAAAATTGTCTATAGCAGTTTCATTGTGTAGCCTAAAAGGAAGGTGCCTGTTGGGCCTGACAGAATCTCACCATGGATACTAAAGGAAGGTGCAGAAGCACTAAGTGTGTCACTCTCTATGGTGTATAACAGGTCACTGGAAACAGGAGACCTACCGGAAAGTTGGAAGACAGCTAACATAATCCCAATATACAGTATAAGAAGGGTGACAGGCAAGAGGCACTGAACTACAGTTTCTCTAACTTGTATACCATGCAAGGTGATGGAGAAGATTGTGAGAAAAAGGCTCGTAGAGCATCTGGAGGGAAATAGCTTTGTAACACATCACCAACACGGGTTCAGAGATGGTAAATCGTGCCTCACAGGTTTAATAGAATTCTATGACAAGGCAACAAAAATTAGGCAAGAAAGAGAAGGGTGGGCAGACTGCGTTTTCTTGGACTGCCAGAAAGCCTTTGACACAATACCCCATAAAAGGCTGTTAAAAAAGTTGGAGCAACAGGCAGGAGTAAAAGGGAAGGTGCTCCAGTGGATAAGGGAGTATTTAAGCAACAGGAAACAGTGAGTAACTGTGAGAGGGGAGACATCAGGGTGGTGAGATGTCACCAGCGGAGTCCCACAGGGCTCAGTACTTGGTCCCATCCTGTTTCTAATATATGTAAACGATCTTCCGGAGGGTATAGACTCATTACTCTCATTGTTTGCTGATGATGCAAAAATTATGAGAAGAATCAAGACAGAAGAAGATAGAGACTACAAGATAGCCAGGACAAACTGGATGAATGGTCTAGAAAATGGCTACTAAAGTTCAACTCAGGAAAGTGTAAAGTAATGAAATTAGGTGAAGGGAGCAGAAGGCTGAACACAAGGTACCATCTGGGAGGTGAAATCCTGCAAGAGTCAGATAAAGAGGGGGCTGATATCACACTGAACCTGTCCCCAGAGGCCCACATCAAAAGGATATCATCAGTGGCATATGCTAGGTTGGCCAACATAAGAATTGCCTTGAATTGCCTTTAGAAACTTGTGTAAGGAATCGTTCAGGACCCTGTATACCACTTATGTCAGACCAATCCTGGAATATGCAGCTCCAGCCTGGAGTCCATACCTAGTTAAACACAAGACAAAGTTAGAGGAGATTCAGAGGTATGCCACCAGACTTGTCCTGGAACTAAGAGGAATGAGTTACGAGGAAAGGCTAAAGGAGCTGAACCTCACATCCCTGGAAAACAGAAGAGTAAGGGGAGACATGATAACCACCTACAAAATTCTCAGGGGAATTGACAGGGTGGACAAAGACAAAATCTTCAGCATGGGTGGAACACGAACAAGGGGACACAGGTGGAAACTTAATACCCAGACGAGCCACAGAGACATTAGAAAGAATTTTTTCAATGTCAGAATAGTTAATAAATGGAATGCATTAGGAAGTGATGTGGTAAAGGCTGACTCCATACACAGTTTCAAATATAAGTATGATAGAGCTCAGTAGGCTCAGGAATCTGTACACCAGTTGATTGACGGATGAGAGGCAGGCCCAAAGAGACAAAGCTCAACCCTCGCAAGCACAACTAGGTGAGTACTTGTCTAGAAAACAATTGGGACCTGCAGAAACTGGCAACTCAAGGAGCAGCCCAAAGAGTTGGACATCATTTAAAGACTGAGGAGTGTTGACAGTGGCTGCCAGTGGCTCCCATGATACTACCACCTGGTGATGGTCAGCTGTTACTGGGGAAGGGGGTATGACCTAACTACTAGGTGGGTCGTTTGTGGAGTCATTTGCTGCTTCATTTGTTTTCTGTGGACCCTGCAGTTGTCTGTTCTGCTTCATATCCTTTCTGGGGGTTTGTTTCTTTGGTGAGGGTGGTCATGAAACTTCTGCACCCTGTGGCTCTAGTAAGGTTGGGGCAGGAAGGGGGGGGACCGTTTTTTGTCCTCTGGTCTCTGGTAAGCTGTTAAAGACTTCAGCGGCTGATGTGACTTGTGTGTGGAGCTATCTCAGTGCAGCTCAATCAGAAAGAGCCATTTCATTACATTCACTGCTAGGTTTTCGGTATGTAGTTCTTGGTAAATGAAATAGTGAGGAGGCCTTGTTCATGGCCATTGATAAAGCCAAAGTCATTGTACCTACGGTTGTACCTATGGTGCCTACCTAGTGTAATGAGGGTTATGTTGTGTACTGCACAGCTAAACCAAACTTGAATCCAATGTTAAAAGCTTTGGTGCTGTACTGGAGAGGTTGTAAATGATATTAGGTATCTTTCTTACTAGCTGTTTCTATTATTGCATTCACTATTTTTACTTCATGGATTATTTTTAATCCATGAAGTTTCTTTTTGTGTTAGTGGTACAATATAGATTGAAACAATGCATCTGATGTCATCTGCCCTGCTTTTACACCTCTGAAACCACCAATGCAACCTTACTTTTCAGCTTCATCTAAATCTATCTTGTCCCTGGAGAGTAGTAATACAATATGTACTGGACAGGGGTTATGTAGTTAATCAAGGAGAGCTCAGTTGGAGGATTTTGCTTTCTGAAGTGATTACTCTGCCCCTGCGGCCTGACCTTTTTCACATTATTAATTATTCTAGTAATGTTGCCAAGTATGTTATTACTGTACTTTATTTTTGTATTTCTCCATGCTAAATAGTCTTCCAGGCTTGGTGTCTTCTTTTGATAATTACAGTACAGTACTTGCCTTTTCTTTTTCAGGGAGGCATTGCAATCAGCCCAAGGTTAAAAAGTGCCCAAATACTAGTGAAGATGTTTTGGTATATGGTGGTGGGATTTTCATGCCTCAAACTTCTCCTGATTCCTGCATAGTGAGTATAGTAGTAGGGGATAATATATCTTTGCAGCAACTTATAATATTTACTGATTTCTGGGGGAGCCCATTCTGCTCCCTGGAGCTATCCAGGCTGAATGGATATGTATAACTTTCTGGCATCAGTCAATGCATGGAGTTCTTGCCTACCGGGGACCACGAGCCAAAACCTGGCCCCCCTCTAGAGAGGCACGAGGAGCAATGGCCTATAGAGACCTCCCTTATGTTTGGGAGCATTCTATGTCTACCATCGACCGGGACAGGCACCCAGAAAGGTAGGCGCCCCAAAATAAACCCCTATTCTGGTAAACTATTGCGACCGAAGACCGAATAGGTGGACAGAACTCCCCAAACAAAAATTAGCCCTCATGACGTCATCATGTCGCCGCGCCGCTGTCTGCGCATCCCCCCCCCCTCCCCTGGAGGGGGAAGGGGGGAGCCCCAGATCCCACCGTCGGCAACCCAACCATTAGTTCTCAGGCTGATGGGATCTGGTGCGGTCGTGCCTCTGGCTCCTGTTTGCAGTTGCAGTTCTGTTCCTGGTGGTCTGAGCTGTCCCTTCCGGTGGTGTGTGGGCCAGGAGTATTATTCCACGGTGCTCGGGCTGCATGCGCTTAGGGTTATCTTCCCTATGTGCCCTGTAAGTACTGCCCTTGGGGCTTAGGGCTACCTTCCCTGGGTCGCCTTGGGGTCTACCTCTGCTGTGCCGTGTACTGCTCGGTATTTGGCCGCCCTTGGAGTCAGCTGGGGTTTTTTCTTGCCCTTGTTTGTCTCTGGGTAGGGGGTAGTTTTCGTCACTGGCAGGGGTGCGGGGTACTGCGCAGCTAGTTTTCACCATTAACAGCGGCTGGCTCTGTTCTGCCGAGGTACGTTGTCCTCTTGCGGGGTTATTCTTTTGTTTTTGTTTTTTGACTGGTGGGGTCTGCCTGTTTGGTCCCCCATCTCTGTTCTTGGGGTTTGTCTCAATTTTGTTTAATTGGTGGTACTCCCCGCTTGGCCCCCGTGAGTGTACACATCCCGGGGGTTCAGCTATAGCAGTTTGTTGGTAGTTTTGGGTGCCGGTTTGCAGTACCCTGCCTGGGCTTCCCTTAGTGTGTTACCAAGGATAAGGGCCCTGGAAAACCCCACGGGGGCTACGTGGTCCGATGGATGTGACCCCTGAGTCCCCCCTCGCGTCCTGCGAGTTTGAAGGTTGCTCTGTCCCCTTGTCTCAGGGGGACACTCACCGGTTTTGCCTCTGCCATGCTGCCTCTTGGGTCGGTGATTGTTTTGACCCAGAGTCGTGCAACATGTATTGTCTGTACGTTCTCCAGTTCACCCAGGCTACTTTGCCTGATATGCGGGTGAGGGCAGCTGAGGCGTTGCATGTTCACTTTAGGTTGCTGCAATGCGCTAGGTTAGTCGCTGCCCCGGATGCCCCGAGACTGCCCCGTTTTGGTTATAGTCGCTTCGGCTCTGGTTCCGTCCGCCCTTCCTAGTCCTTCCCCTTCTGTTGCTCGTTCGGTCCCCCCCCCCATCCCCCACTGCTGGCTCCTAAATGTCTGAGGGTTTCAGAGCCGGGGCTGGGTTTAGTTGGTTGTGAGGCTCGGGCGGTCTCGAGGGTGTCCCCTTCTGGGGCAGTGGCGGAGGCATTTAAGCCTGGTCCTTCTACTGAAGCTTTTGGGTCTGGCCAGTGGGCCCCTTTGTTCCTGCTTTGTCGGCTGCTCCCACCTTTTCTTTGGGGGTGGGGGCTCAGGAGGACGGCTCGGCCCCGGGCCCTCTGGGTGAGGTTCCTGGGGTTGGGGAAGGGTTGGCTTGGGGGCCTTGGGCCCTGTTGGACACTGCCTGGGTTTTTTTGCCCTCTGAGGGGGGCTTGGTGTTACAAGGAGAGGGGTTCTCTTTTGCTCCCTCTGCGTACGAATTGGATTTGGTGTCCACCCCTCCCCGAGTTCAGTTCCGTGATCCCGAGGGTTCTTCAGTTCCATCTTTCCAGAGGTTTCCCGCTTCCCGTGTTTCGTCTTCGGAGGTGCGGGAGGCCTTGGCGGCTTACCTCTTGTGTAACCCTGATTATGCCTTCCTGATGGATCCTCGTTCCTTCGTGTACTGATCCCCTGGTTCGTGCTGGTTTCGTTATGAAGTTCCGGAGTCGTCCTGGTTGGCAGACTGTCCTCTCTTTTCGTTGGAGGCTTGGCACATGTTCTGTCGGTCCCGTGCGCTTGAGTGGCGAGAGGTTTCCTTGGCGTTGCAGGTTTTCCTGGGGGGCGCTTTTGAGCATCTGAATGCTTGTTTGTTCGCCCCTGCCCTTTCGTGGGATGTTGGTGTCGTGCAGCTTCACGTGCAGGTTCCTTCCCTCTCGGCTGCCTTGATTGCGGAGGATTTACGGACTCGTGGCCTGCTTGCTTCAGCTCTGCATTTCTTTTCCCTCTTTGAGCTGTCCTCGGATTGGCTCGAGTTGGATGTGGGAGCGCTTGGGGCCGCTGCTGGGTCTGGTGCACTGCCCTCAACTGTGCGGGCGTCGTCTGCTTTGTTGAAGCTCTTCGCGCCCATCCTGCGTGATGCGGTTTCGCGGTTCTATGCTTCTCGCCTCACATGTCGTCAGGCGGTGCTGGCTTCCTTCTTGTAGTCAGCCTGGGCCCTGGCTCTTCGTTTTTCCTCGCCCTTTTGTTCATTACTGTTTGCGGAATCTGCTGTAAGGCAGTATCTGCAGGCGTCCTCGGTCAGTTGTCAGCCTATGCCGGAGTTGTTGTTGCTCCAGGGGGCTCATGGGAGACCTTCCCGGAAGGGTCATGCCATGGCTCGGGGGTCTTTTCGTCGGGGTAGGCCTTTGGTATCAGATTTGGGGCTGGCGGCGCCTTCAGTTCTGGCTGTTGCTGGACGTAGTGGGCTCAGTCCTGTTTGCCACCTGGTTCTCGCAAGGCGCGTTGACCCTTTCGCGGTTCATCTCATTGACGGGGTGATGGGGGGCGGCTCGCCCGGTTTGCCCACGCCTGGTCCCACGATTTATGGGCTTTTCGGGTCGTTTCGTGCCGCCTGTGGTGGTGTTGGGTGGCTCTTCCTCCCTCGGGGGATTCAGAGCTGGCGGGGCAGGCCTCTTCTCCTGCGCTCTGTCGGGTCATCTCGGAGTGGGTTCGCTTGGGCGTGGTTGAAACGACGTCGTCCCTCAGGTGGGTTTCCCGCCTGTTTCCGGTCCCAAAACGGGACTGCGCGGACCTCCGGTTCATTCTGGACTTGTCCCGTCTGAACCCGTGGGTGTTGTGCCCTTCCTTTCGGATGACTACGCTGTCCCAGGTCCGTCTTCTTTTGGAGAGGGGTGCTTGGATACGGTACCTGGATCTCAAGGACGCGTATTGGCACGTCCCGGTTCATCCGGGGTTCAGGGACTGGCTCGGTTTTGTTGTGGGGCGTCAAGGTTACCGCTTTCGTTGTCTTCCCTTTGGGTTGAATCTGGCGCCACGCGTTTTCACACGCCTCACTTGGGTTGTGGTGGCCCGCCTGCGTCTGCTAGGTGTTCGGGTGCTGGCCTATCTCGACGACTGGCTGGTTTGGGATCCCAGCCAGTCCGCGTGTCTGCTCGCCAGGGATTTGGTTCTTTCCCAGCTCGCCAGGTTCGGGTTCTTGGTGAACTGGAGGAAGTCCCATTTGGTTCCCTCTCAGGTTCGGTCTTGGCTGGGTCTGGTTTGGTATGCTCGCGCTGGCTGCTTCCTTGTCTCTTCCTCCGGCGGTTCTCTTGCGCCTGCGATCCCGCCTTCGCCCGTTTCTGAGGGGTTCCCCGGGTCACGAGGCAGTTGCTCGAGAGTTTGTGCGGGAGCCTGAACTTTGCCATGATGGTCTACCCGCCGGGTCGGGTGTGGCTTCGTCGGCTGTTCTGGTTCCTTTGGGGCCGGCCCTTCTGCCTCTCTCGCGATCGTTGGGTTCGACCTCGGGGGGCTTTGCGTCAGTTGCTGTGTCGCTGGCTTCCTCTTCGGGTTTTTCGGGGTTTGGTGCCTTGGCGCCTTCCCGTGCCCTCGCTCGATGTGTACATGGACGCGTCGTCTGTTGGCTGGGGTTTTGTGACCAGTGCTCACCAGGCCGGCCAGGGGCTGTGGGTTCCGTCCTTCCGTCGGGCTCACAGCACAGTGCGGGAGTTCGCGGCAGTGTGGAAGTTGCTCCGGAGGATTCGAGTCGCTCGCTGATAGACGATCCGGCTCCATTCGGACTACTCCCCGGTGGTTCATTATTTGAACCGCGGGGGTTGGAGTGGTCCTTGGCTCTTTGGGGCTGGTCGCTTCGGGTGACTCGTCTGCTGAGTTCTCGAGGTTTGGCTCTCCTGGCGGTTCATGTCCGGGAGTGTCCAACATCCTGGCGGACGGCCTGTCCCGGTTCCGTCCCCTGTCCTTGGAGTTGACGGTCGATGCCAACTCCTTCCATTATCTGTGCCGGATGTTCGGAACTCCGGACGTGGATCTCTTCGTGTCGGCATGGTCGAGGCGTCTCCCGGTTTACATGGCGCTCTTTCCCGACTGCGAAGCTGTCAGGGTCGACGCCTTCAGGCTGCACTGGGCGAGGTGGGGTTACCTGTATCTCTTTTCCCCGGTTCTGTTGTTGCTCCAGGTCCTGACTTGCTTGGAGACTTACCAAGGTTGTGTTGTCCTTCTGGCTCCTTGGTGGCTGGCCCAGCCTTGGTTTTAGGCGCTGCTTGCTCGGTGTCCGTACCCGACGGTCTTCCCACGGCTCCGCCTCTTTCAGCAGATTGGTCCGGCCCTGTACGAGGCTGGTTCCATCTTCTCGAGTCTTCGTGTCTGGTGTTTTTTACTCGGGTTTATCATTCATTGTAGGGTGCCCAGGTCGCTTCGTTGTTGGTCTCCCACCTGCGTGCTTCGTCTCAGCGGCAGTATGAGGTTTCCTGGCGGTCCTTCCGGCTTTTAGGTCTCTGATAGGGTTGTTCTGTCCTTTCTCTCTTGGTTGTTTCAGGACCGTCATCAAATGCCGAATACTGTTGCTTCGTATCGTGCGGCGTTGGCGGAGCCGCTTCAGCTTGCT